ATCTTAAACGGGGGTGGCTGGACATACAAAAATGCTAATAACTAAAATACCTGTCAACATAGGAGCTTCAGATTTCTTTTTTTATTCATTTCCTTTTATTTTAGCTCTGATGAGGGGCTTTCCATTAGGCCCACCAATGAGCACCCCCACCCCCCATTTTGGGATGCACCTAGCAGCATGAAATCTGGTAGGAATAGACTTCTAAGTTTAGCTGCATTGGTGCGTGCGGTGGTCATTATGTTACCATTATGCGGTATCTAGTTTTAATTTGGAGCTACGTTTAATGTTAGGGTTAACTACTTTTAACTTGTAGCTTTAGCTTAGCTTGTAGTTTTGCTAAAATTAATTAGTATTTTGTTAATTTTTGATTTATGATATGTTAAAGACAAGCTTGGCTAAGTTTAGCTTTGACTTTGCTAATTTTAGCGCTTACCTACCATGTTACCATTTGCTTATCCAGTTGTTGCTTCTTCAGCAAAATTAAGCAAATTAATTGAGCTCTCAGTTCACCCTTCACAATACAGTGATATTGCAGTAATATAATATTTAGCAGGCTGCATGGATTCAGCCCAAGGGCCTGATATTAACCCAGACTGTTGATGAACACTGCTACAGAAACTAATTTACAGTCGCCTCTGTGTGAAAGCATGCATTGACTGAGTGAGCGGAGGATTTTCTGAGCACATTATTGGAAGTCTTCTGCCAGTAATCGTTTTGCAGGAACTTAACAAGAGATTTTCCTCTTACTGTTTTTTAACAGGATTATGAAAATCTATTGAGTCTCATAATGAAATATTGCACCTCCTTCCACTCTGTCTAATGTGCCACACTCCTAGGCCATTTCTCTTTTTATGTTCCACTCTGCTTCAGCCTGGTAGTGACAGCTTGATTTACACCACTAAATACTCTTGAAAACCACATGAACAGTGTATAAAAACTGCCTAACATACTTTCATTTGGCAACAGAATACAATATAAAATATATTTACCATAAAACATACATGGGACTAAATCTTGTTTTTTTTTATTTCTCTTAGTAAAAGTAATAAGTGCTTGTATATAAAAAAGCTAAAATAAGACATAAGGGGCTGATTTATCAATAAGGTAGATAACCATTACTAAATACCATGAGCAAATAAAAAATAGTCTGTGGTAAAAGTGGGAGTGCTGTGTGTGATTTACTAAGGTTGCGTGCCCAGCAAGCTCTGGTTTGCTCATAGATCTGTACGGAGTAACGGTTGATAAATCAGCCCCTAAGTTTTTTGATGTAGCACAGATGATTAAACATAATTGCAATGTTTGCAAATTGAAAGATTGTAAGAATACAGTCTACATTTTTTTAAAATGTGCCCAGTATCGTGGGTAGCTAAATAAGAATGACCAACCAATCAAGAGTTATGAAGTTTTCCATATAAAGAAAATATTCAAGCTGTCTCACAGCACTGAGCCCAAGTTGTTCTTTTTGTGAACATTGTTTTATCCGTCTATCCATCCATTTTCTTTCACCCATTTTTTCCTTTCACTGTTGTGGAGAAGCTGGTGCCTATCTCCAGTGGTCATTGTAGGGGGGTACCTGGGATATACCCTGGGCTTGTTTATTACAGGGCCACATACAGACAAATGACAGAGACTCAATCACACTCTTACACACACTCAGTAACACTCAAAAGTCATCATTTAATCTAACATGCATGGCTGACCAAACCTGAGTACTTGGAGAAAACCCAATATGCACGGGCAGAACACACAAGCTTCACAATGAAAGACTCTGGGCACAAGGTGAACCTGCACACTTCTTGTTGTGAGGCACTAATCACTGCAAATTGTGCTGCTCTGAATTCTATTTAGCAAAACCCATTTGCATGAAAGATTTCACAACTGTAAATAAAAAAAAATATGTGGGAGTATGTTGGCTTTCAAAGCGCATTAAATTTGACTTTATTTCTTACACTGGGCTGATAGTGGAAAAATGTTGAGCTGAGCACCATCCACCATCACCACACACACGATTCCGTCTTCTGTCTGCTTATCCATTAATAATACGGCCAAATTACTACAAAAACTTTTTAAAGGAAGACTTCTATCAAGCATAAGAAAAAAAAAACAGTTTCAAGTAGTTTTGTACTAAGCAAAAGATAAAACCTGTGATATATTATTGTTATTATTATATTTAAATATCTTCCTTTTGATTATAACAACACAACTGCAGAATCACCCTTCCAGGGTCAGTCTTTATCACTGAGCATCAACGTGCACATTATGAAGATGTTTATGGTTAAAAATGGGAATTTATGAACTTTGTTGTAGCTACAAATACTTAAACCCTAAAAACCAAATGAAAATATCACATAAGGTGACATAGTGGTGGGCTCACAGGAAGCTGTTGTTCAAGTTGTTCTTTTTGGCTGAGCCGAAAGTAGCCTACATCTGAATAAATATTTTGTCAGTTTGCTTTAACAGGTTAAGAAAGATACATAATCTTAGCATACATACCCATTGGGGTTCCAACACCATAGGCTTTGGAGTCAATAAGGCCTCCGATCTGTGTGAGGTTACAGTTGCGTTGTGTTACAAACTCAATCGTGGTTGACTCCATGAGGAATGCATAGTCTGAGGTGAGCACACGATGAATGCCTTCCTCGACATTCTTCACCATAACAGAGTGCCTCCGACTGCTCATGAATTCCCACATTTTATCATATGTGGAAATCTTTGTTTTCTGTAAGGAGACACAAATGGGCATTGTGAGAAGAAAGTAAAATACAGAGTAGCTATGGGAAACTGTAGGCAGAATATTTACAAAGCTCATTTATATGCTGCCACTGTGTGCAGCTCCATTCAACTTCCAGAACCCTTTATATTCTATTACTTTCCAAATTTCATTAGGAAAACGTGTTGTTTGCTTCAGCAAAAGTTATTGCAGGTTCAGCAGCTATATATAATATAGGTCTGGTTAAGTCATTATTGTTTACGAGGTGAACATGGCCTCAAGAAGATGAGCATGCTAAACAGCAGCAGAGTTGTAAATTGGTATGAGAATAATGTTCATCTTTAATGTCTATGCTACTACTATTACCAAAAGGTAGAAGTGGTGGCATTATCAACAGTTTTCAACACCTGTAATCACTGAAAAAAATCCAAGAGTGCATTACTCTCCAGGGGAGAAGATTTGAAAGCATTTTTGAAACCATTTGAAACCTAATTAAGCCACATCTTCAAGGTCCCGCCCGCCATTATTGTGTGTAATGACTTTCTGTGGCTGGTCGATAATTTAGATCAACTGTGTGATTTGGAGAGTGCCTATCAGAATCTTTCGGAGTCACCCTTGACAAATCAGGCGATTGAGCATGCAAGCTTCAGACTGCTGATAAGGCAAGAGCAGTGGCTGTGAATACATGGAATGTAAGATAATAACCTACACTCAAAGTCAGGCAGAGAGCCGAGGTGAGCGTTTTTACAGCCTCTTTACAGGGATACAGAAATGATTACATGGAAAACACAAAGATGCACACAATGAATAGCTACCAAACCTTAAACAACAAAACACAAAACACTTCGATCCTAGGTTTGTATCATACTTTTTTTATCATATTTATTTTATTTTATTTTTATTCTATTTATTTTATTACAAGGCATGTTGCTCCATTGCACACATTTAAAGCTTGAATATCTAAAATTTATCCAATCAAGCCCCCAGAAAAATTCATTAATAAATGTTAGCAAATGTACTAAAATTATACAGTCACCATAGTCAGAATTAGCTGCATTTATGACCCCCCCCCCCAAAAAAAAAAAAAAAAACATTTAATTTTTGTTGGGAATTCAAGAGTGCTGTACAGAAAAATCAGGAACACACAGACAAAAAAACAAAACAAAAAAATACAAAACAAAACAAATTAAAACAAGACAAATAAACTCAACAGCACTGCTTTAATTATTCTACACACTAAATACATTTATTCATACTGAAACACTACTACTGAAACACTACTACTGAAACACTATAGACTAGAAAAAGCAGTAACAACAAGATCATTGCGTGTTCAAATATAAGGAACTTTGTTTTTCTATGTGAAGTTCTCGTGTTCATCGTGTACATGTGTGGATTTTCTCTGGCTTCTACCTGCTGTTTAAAAACATAGAATAATGATTTTTGTCCAGGAGTACACTGTCTTTACTCATTTTAGCATCCATTAATCCATATATCCATCCAAAGTGTTATTAAAGACAATTAAGAGTGTGCCCTGGTCACATGACTTTGCAAGGCTGGCCATTAGCTGAGAGGGCAAAACTCTAATTGGTGTTTTTGTAGATAATGTAGATAAGCGGTGTCCCAACGTGTGGTCATGCACCTCAGAAATTTTGAAACTCCACAAAGTCTGCGTGCGCTGCGAACCATTCAAACAGCATGTTTGTTCGTTATGCTTTTGCTCTCCTATTTACAACATTTCACAAGTTATAAAGTCTACTTCCACGTGTCCTTTTGGAGAAACCTACAACAACGTAAGCTCCAAATATAAACACCTCCGCCTCTGTTGTGGGTGCGCAGGCAAACCCAGCGACTACTCAAAGCACGACTATAATCAAGCCTTAACTTTCCAATGCGTTGTCAGCTCCTGGAGATGCATTCAGTATGGTGTCTAGATCTGAGATGATGATCAGATGGGAATCTTTTATTTATTATGACCCCCGCATGTGAAGCATATGCGAGAGTCATGGTGTTTTCGTACTGTTATTTTTTTCAGTGATATTTGGTCAACCGTAGCACAAAAACGGCTGCACTGGTCAACATGAAATTTGGCAGGGCTGTAGAAGAGTCCGACCTACACAGCGCCAGCCATCGGTTTTGCGATAGACCCCATGTTTGAGGAGGGGGCTCCTTTCAAAGTGGGGGTGTC